GCTAGGGAAGGGTAAGTGGAAGGAGGTGAGGGAGGAATGGGGTACGCACCCCCGATGGGGAGGACTGGGCTGGCTCTGCGGGCTTTTAGGGTGGAACCTCCCCTGCAGCCCCCCGATTGCCCCCTCTCCCCAGATGGCAGTCTGCGGCAAGTGCAGCCGGTCTGATGGCCGAGTGCTATGATGTGCCCAGTGTGGGTACTCCGGGCACTCCAAGCCAGGACTGTTTTGGAAGCGGGGCACCCCTGAGAACTGTCTGTCCGGGGTGGAGGTCGGGACCCTTTAAGCACAGCCCTCGGCTAGCCTCAGACAGCATCTCCACTCTCTAAGTCCTCCTCTGATGCCCTGCCAGCACTGCTTCCAGCCATCCTTAAGCCCGGTTCAGGGTCCACTTAATGTGGACATGCTAGTTGGAATTAGCAAAACGCTAATTCAAACTAGTTTTTTAGTCTAGATCCGTTAGTTCAAATTAGCTTAGTTCGAATTAACTAATTCGAACTAAGTTAGTTCGAATTAACGTTGTAGTGTAGACATACCCTCAGGGATAGAAACACTCCACACACCTCTTAAGTGAAATGCTTTAAAGCAACAACAGTATACTGATACTGGTAATTTATTAATATTATGGCATCATGTAGGGCACCCAGTCAGGGACCAGAGCCTCACTGTGCACTGGTGTACAAATAAATACCAAAAAGACGAGCCCTGCCAACTTTGGGTGTATATGCTGTTAGTAGGAAATTTAATGTTATTAGAAATGCACTAAAACCAAAATGGAGACTGTGACTAAAGGGACAATCCAAGGTAGAGTTGTGGTGCGTGGTGGGATTTTAAAATGGAACCCAACAGACTGAGAGGACTTTTGCCGCCAAAACACCCTCTGCACACGGCACGTGTCCATGCACTCCACACCAGTTTGTCTGCACCCAGCACCATTCTCTGCACTCAGCACTCCAGCCGCTTTCCCGCCCAGAGGCATTTATAAGCTCGGACTCTGAGAGAGTTCTGGTTCCTGAGTTCCTGGTTTTCTCGGGATCCTTCGTTCCTGTTTCTTCGTGAGTTTGTCGTTCACCTAACTTGCTGTCTCCAGGACCGTGGCGAAGGCCCGGGCCTATCCTGATAGCAGACCAGCATCCATCGGCTAGCAGTGTGCTCTAGTTCACCCACTGAGGTAAAAGCCCAGTGCAAGTGAACTCCAGCTACCTGTCTTGACGAACCAGACACACCGCCTAACTCCGAGTGCTGTGGTGAATGCCCTCTGCTCCAGAGCTGGGAAGACTATCTTGTGTGTGTTCTACTCACAAACTGACTGTCACACCATCAACAGAGCAACAACAAGGACTCCTCAGTGTTCCTCCCCCCGAGGCTATCTGAGCTAAAGGGTTGCAGGTCCTAAGCCTCGGCTGTCGGTTACCATCTCCGGACAGACTGAGTTTAATCTCCTTTACACACTGCATAGTATCTCATTATTTTAAAAGAGTGTAGGGTTGGTTTTACAGTGTTGTGTTGTGTTTATTCAAGTGTATTGGTTACCTGTTGTATTCAATACATTTTTACATCTTTTACATTTGATATCAGAGTCTGTGTTTATTTCCATCTGAGAAATCTGCTGGTGATAGGCTTCGGATTTAAAAACATCTTCAAATTGCAATCTAGACATTCTGAAATAAAGCATCTACAAAAATAAGTAAAAGAAGTTGTGTTGGGAAATACCATGATTACATTTGTAAATTGGTGTAGCTAGATTAAATGAATACCTTTTAAAGAAGCTCTCCATTCTGCACAGAGGGTTCATGGAAGACCACCAGTATTCAAAGTAAAGAGGCTGTGAGAAACAGCTGGATTGAGTGAAAAATAGAGAAACAGTCTGATATGCAGTCAATCCCACTTAATTATACTTGCTAATTGTATTTCCCATGATAATCATGTACAGTATTTAAATGCAGCATGCTATTTCCTGTTCAGAGTGATTAAAAACACCCGTTATTGATGAAATTATCTTGGAGACATACTACATTTTTAATGTAACTGATATTTCTTATTCCCTTACACTCAGAAAAAGAACCTCCTGTCAGCCACATAACCACTGCATTTGAGCCCCATCTGTACCCAAGTTTATCAATTTTACATTGTTAGGGTACAGTCTGCAAGTGCTTATTCCTCACCTCAGGAAAGCCTACAAGGTTTGATCCCTTTTTATCAGACAGTATCCCAAGAATTTTTAAAAGTTAATCGTAGGTCAAAATGTTTAAGTTTGGATTACTAAATTCAGACACCTACATAAGAGGCCTGATTTTCAGAGCTTTTGAGCAGCCAATATTTTGTCAGTATCAGAAATAAAACTCAGTATTTCTTATTCCTTGTCACTTTTATCATTACTGTTGTTATTATTTATAGTGTGGTAGTGCTTGGATCCATCAATATTACACTTAGGAGACTGAACAGAGCAGCGCAACGCTAAAATAATTGGTGGAAACTGGTGGAGGCCCTATGCACATGAGGATGTGAGATGATAAAAAAGATACTTAGTCATGGATGAAAGCCCTGTTATGCTGGGTGCTTTAATATGCATCTGCAGAAGTATCAGAGTAATGCGAAAGATTGAAATATTTCTACTATTTGTCAGCATAGGCTGAATGTGTTTGCAATAATGTGGGATGGTCCATGTAGTTGTTACCAGTAGTGGATTACATCGTTAACCTGTATGTATTTTTAAAACAGTATTTACTTCCAGGGAGCAACTGCCAGTTGTATTTTAATTAAACAGACTATAAATAATTAAACAGGATGATAATTTTCTATGGTTCAGCATCGTCTAAAACTTTAGGGTACAGTTATGAACCTTTTAACTGTTGACCCAAAATTCCAATGTTTCCTACGTTTTGACGGGTTGGGACAACTGTGGAAATTTGGGGCAATTTGATTCAAAGCCATCTCAAAGTTGCAGGCATTTTTAGCAAGATTCATGGAGTAGCAACAATAATGGTAACTTTTTAACCATTCAATTTCTATCCTACTTGTTAATGATATAGCAACTTAATAATTGATATAATTAATTATTTGATATAATTAATATACACATTTGATCAATAGGATAAAAACATGGCATGATAAACTAGGATCTACTAAATAAAAAAAATGTATGTAGTTACCTACTCGGATACTGGTAATAGCATTGAATAGAGGCATTTATCAGTAGTGGATTTAAGAATGTTAAGACTACTTACAAATTCCTTAAGTATTTTTTTAATGCATGCAGGATTATTTTGGCACTTTTCATTCAGAAACATTAGAGAGAAGGGGCCAGATCATATATTTTGCAGCAATGTGTCAGTCATATAAACATAAATCCAGAATAAATCCAGTGAAGTCAATGCTTATGAATCCTGACAACAGTGGAATTATTACAGATTTGCACCAGTGTGATTGAGATCAGAATCCATCCCAGAAACTTTATTCAAGGCAAACACATCTGAGAGTTCATAAGCTCCAGAAACTCCAGAACCTTTGTTTTTTTTTCAAACTATGATTCAAACTAATTAAGACATATGTCTTAATTTTCTGTTTTGAGGTTTTCCAGTTACATTCCCCATCTCTCTATTCCCCTACCCTCTCCCTCACTCCTTCGGAGTAAGAAAGCATGCCTTTTTGGTCTTTACAAACATTTTAAATTCAGGAGTAAAGCTTCATTCCCAACTCAATCCCATGAATCAAGCTGCTTGCAGTATTTCAGCAGTTAATTAACAATGAATGCCTTCCTTTGGAAGCTGGGGAGGGAGGGATAAAAGATGAAGAAGGATGAAGACAGACAAAACAAGAATGGGGAAGGGGCAGAGTGGGTGGCTTATCAAATTCCACAAATACCAGACATGAAGAGGTGTTGATTTGTTACTGGGAAAACCCTGTTTGTTTATGGAGTGTAATCACCTGTTCTCTGTTTGTTGTTTGAAGCATATGGGACTGTTTGCATGCAATGTACTGAAATAAAATACAGTAAGGTTGTGCACACTGGAATTTTAAGTCACTGGTATGCATACACTGGAAGAGCTCAGATCATTAACAACTAGGCACATGGCCACTCCATTTAAAGAGGGCAACAAAGAATGGACACAAGGCTGACCATTAAACTGATTCTAGCTGGTGGCCCAAAACAGTAATATTGTCATTTGAGATGGGCCAAACAGGCTTGGAAAAATTATTTCTTCAGGCTAAGAGACTTTGATAGAAACCCCAAGTGTGGGAAGCCTCCCTATGCCTTTGAAAATTTCATGTCTGCAAGGCACTGGTCACTCCACATT